GGGAGTGGGGGAGAGGGGGGAGGGCTGTGTAATGCACAGCGCCCAGGCGCTGTCCCAGAGCCGTTTCTCTGGCTGTTTCTCCAATAGCCAAGAGGTGTGTAATCTCAGTTCATCTACATATCTCCCCAGGCTTGATGAAGTCACCAGAAATTCAATCCTGTTTTTCTGGGCTGCCCTGAACCTCTCCCTTCCACTTTCCCAACTTTCAGTTTCTTTTTAGATCCTGAGTGTCGTTGGGGAAGAGGTGGAATGTGGATTGCTTACAACTTTCCAGCCAAAAACCCCCATTTAGGGGAAGTCCCTTTAAAAGGGAAACTAAAATTCTCTCCCAGACCAGTCCCCAGTCCCACCCCTTTCTCTCCACACTGCTCATCACCTCTCCCATTCAGCCTCTTCCTCCAATGATCTGGACCCAAATTACGGTTATCTTCCAGCTTTGTGACCCTAACAAGACTCTTCCCCACCCTGACCCTCACCATGCCCACTCTAAAATGAGGGCGCTGGGTGCCACGTCAGGTTGTGGAAAGGGTTCAGTGAGTTATTGTGTTGAGCCAGTTGTAGTGGTGAAGAGCTGGCTCCATCATGTCCTAGTTGTGTGTCTCTTTAGTCCCTCTCTGAGCCCCAGTATTCTCATCTGTAAAATGGGAATAACAGTATCCACTTCTTAGGGCTACTGTGAGATAAATGAGCTAGTGCCAGCCAGTAAAGCCTGTAAAACCGAGCTCCTGAGGCAAGGAGCACCCGGGAAATTCAACAATGTTCCTAGATTCCATTACATGACATGCCAGGCAAAGGCCTGACACAAAGTTAGCACTCAACAGTGTGCCCATTTCCTTCCCTCTCTTCCCTCCCTGCCCCGGGGAGAGGAGATGAGGGTAGGACCACCCTGAGAAAACCTTGCAGTCTCTCCATCAACAATCTTCTGGGACAGGTGGTAGAGGGACTGACCAGGCTGATCCAGACTGACCAGACACTGAATTGCTCAGAGGGAAATTTATTTGGCTCAATATCTTCCTTAAATGGTAAAGGAATCTGCCTCTCTCCAGAACCCTGCGGATTCTCTTCCTCTTGTCTTGCACCCCAAAGTGTCCCCCTGGGACCTCCTTTTAGTGACTTTTCCCAGAAAGACACCCCCTGGAGCCCCCCTCCAGCACATACTTTATCTGTCTGTCCCCTCCCAGTCCATCCACAAATTCTCCTTCCCTTCTATCCGCACAAGGGGCCTGGCATCCCGGTGGTCCTCCCCCGGTGCCTCTGAGAGATTGAGCTCCTGGCCCCCTTGTTCTCATTTTCTCCTCAGTCCACTGAACTTCAGATTTACTGGATTTTTTAGTTCAGAGGCTGAGCTTCGACCACCTCAGGGCCAGGGACATGCTGTTCCCTCCACCTAGAATGCCTCTCCACTTCTCTGCTTGCTGAGTTTCTACTTTCCTCTTAAAACCCAGAACAAACCACTCCCGAGGACTTTCAGATGCCCCAGGAGGAAGGAATGGCTCTCCCCACCACATAGGGCCATACCTCTGGGCTTAGGGTTCCCACTCAGCACTTCTCACATGGCATCTTCTCCGTGCTGGGGAGTATGAGTGCAGCCTCAGAGTTAAAGTTTGAGATGCTTATTAGAGTGGAGACACCAGGCTGCAGTGAATGAATCAACAAACCTGGACTTCAGAGGAGTTGGGTGGGGAGGGGTTCCAAATTTGAAGCCACAGGATTAGACGGGATCCACTAGAGAGGAGGGGCTCCTGAAGACGGCGCTGGGACTGTCCTGCGTGGGAGCTGGGAGAGTGTGTAAGGGGGGGCACTGCGACAGGTTCCAGGCACCTTGGAACTGATTGAGGGCTGGAGACCACTCATTGCCCACCAGCGTGGACCTGAGACCCCGGAGGGCTCAAGGCTTGGAGATGCCCTGATGGGACCATGTCCCTCCCCTGCTTGAAACCTGTCCGTGTCTCCCTACTTCCTTCTGGAGAATGTCTGACTCCCTACTTTGGCCTTCAAACTCTTTGAAGCAAAAAAAAAATTTTTTTCTTTGAAGCTCCAAGCCCAGCTAGCTTCATTTTAGTCCAAGTCCACTTGGCTGCCAGTCTCACCATTCCATCAGTGAGACGACCATTTCCGCCTACAAATCACCAAACCTTTCTCCACGCTGCCAGTTCTGCCTGCACTGCTGTGCCGCGTGTGTGCCTTCCCTGATGCTCACCCATCAAGATTCAGCTCAAGGGACCCCTCCTGTAGGCTTTTCTGGCCCAGAAGACTCTCTGTGCCTCATAGAAACCAGTGTCATCATTCCCCCACCCCCGTGGCATTTTACTGAGCTGAAGTATATCTCTGCCTTTCTCTTTCTATCACTGTGAGAGTCTGGAGAGCAGGAGCCAGGTCTGGTTCATCCAGTCTACCCTACTGGGGGGTTCATGGATGGGAATGGGTGCAGTGGGGAGATTGGGGGTGACAGCAGATGCCCCCAACCCCTGGGTGCAGTCTAACTCCTTGTGTGGGAATGGGGAGAACTGAGAGAGCCACAGAGAGGCGGAAGCGGCTTTATTTGGGCACCAAAGGGCAGGGAGCCCAGGAGAGGTCAGAGTTAGGTCATCTTCGCCCTCAGAGAGGGGCAGGAGATTGTGCAGTGCTCCCAGGCCATCTTTCTGCTCATCCTGGCTTGGCCCAAGTCAGCTCCAGGGCCATCATGCGATGAACCTGAAGTCTGTCTTCCCAAATCTCTGGAAAACAGACATCTGTGACACTCCTCTGGAACCACAGGGCACAGGGTGTGTAGCTGAGCATGCCAGGCTGCCTGGCCTCACATGCCGCTCTGCCATGAACTAGCAGATGCCCTTGGGCAAGTCATCTAATGGCTCTGAGCCTCAGTCTCATCGGAGGATAATGAAAATAATGATGGTACCCACCTCCCAGGGGTGTGATGAGGCTTAAGAAAGATAATTGAGCCCAGCCAGGGTGGCTCAGTGGTTGAGCATGGACCTATGAACCAGGAGGTCACGGTTTGATTCCTGGTCAGGGCACATGCCTGGTTGCAGGCTCGATCCCTAGTGTGGGGCATGCAGGAGGCAGCCAATCAATGATTCTCTCTCATCATTGATGTTTCTATCTCTCTCTCCCTCTCCCTACCTCTCTGAAATCAATAAAAATATTTTTTTTTAAAAAAAAGAAAGATAATTGAATGCAAAGCTTAAGCATGGTACCTGGCAGAGATCAATGTGCAATAAATATTATTTGTTATGATTATTTCTACTTTATCAGGAGACCTGGGTTCTGGTCCCAGTTTTGCCATGTTTTCCTCTCTGGGCCTGCCTGAGTTTCCATCTGTAAAATAGGGGCGTGTTGAAGGGTTCAATGAGATAATGGATGTGGCAGAGGCTTCCAAGGTGAATGACTACCTCTGCCCCTCTGAGGTTTATCTCCTGGGGAATGCAGGGGCGTTGTCACCCCCATTCTGTCAGGTCTTTACTGGGCTCTCAGTCCAGGCAGTACCTGCTCCCACAGGGCCAGCCCATCTCCTCCCCTCTGCCCACAAGGCAGAATGAGAGGAAGGGCTGGCCAGCAGGGACTGTGGTTAGACAGGACGAAGGACTTCCTTCCTTCTGAGCTGCAGGATACTACTCTGGAAAGGAGCCAGAGGTCTGGGGACTGAGGCTGCTGGGGGGTGGGGGGGTTGCTTTTAGGGAAATGGCCAGGCCAGCCTGGTCAGGCCAGAATGGTTCGGTGGGGGTGAATTAGCTCTGCAGTGACCTCACTCTAGACATCCTGGAGGGGCCCTATTTAAACCTGCCCTGTGGCTCCCAAGATCACAAAAACAATAGACAGGAACAGAGATGGCAATAGGGGTACTTGAGGACAGCCAGCCAGAGGCCAGAGGACACCCCTAGCCACATGCTGTTTCCTCTGTCCAGAACACTCTTCCCGGGGTCTGGAGTGGTTGACCCCCTCATTCTTCAGGCCTTGGCCGAGAGTTAACCTCCTCAGTCAAGACGTCTGACCAACAAATGCATTCGTTCAACATTGACTGAGCCCCAGTCAAGAGTCAGGCACTCTTCTAGGTCTGTGAGCACGACCAAATCCTGCCCACTACATAAAAAGCAGCATCTGGCCCACCTTGTTCTTAAACAGAACATTTTACCGCTGACCCCTTTTTATTGTCTGTCTCCCCAACCAGAATATAAGCTCCATGAGGGCAGGGACTTCAACTGCTTGTTTCACTAAATGTGAACCCTGCGACTCAGTGTATAAACCTGACACAAACCACTAAAAAGGCCCTTGATAAATATTTGTTGAATAAATAAATGGACACAGAGACCAGAGATAGACAGATACACAGAAACTGAGCCATGCTGAAAGGATGCAGACGCTCAGAGATGCGCAGAAATGAAAGCGTGCGCGCACACACACAGGATGATCACCATGACAGTGCCTGTCAAGCGGACCCTGCCTTCCTTCCCTGAGGTTATTCGGCTTAGTCACCAGGCCAAGGGCTGGAGTCACTTCTGATCCAGTTGGTGCCCAAAGCCAAGACCTAACTGGTCCCAGCACTCCTCATGCAGGGCACAAAGTTGGCATTATTTGAGGAGCCCTGTTTGGAACTCCTATTTTACTTTTTTAGATGTCTTCTGAAGAACAGGAATTTTAATATAGTTAAAATATGCTAATCTTTTAAAATATGTGTGTGGTGGTACGAGAAAGGCAGGGATAAATAACACCGCAGAGACCCCCACCCAGCCCGTGTGCCTCTTCCTTTTTTAAAAAAAAATATATATTTTTATTGATTTCAGAGAGGAAGGGAGAGGGAGAGATAGATAGATACATCAATGATAAGAAAGAATCATTGATCAGCTGCTTCCTGCACGCCTGCTACTGGGGATTGATCCTGCCATTGGGGCAGGTGCCCTGACCGAATCCTGACCTGGTTCATAGGTCGATGCTCAGCCTTCTGAGCCACACCAGCCGGGCCCACGTGCCTCTTCCATTTCAGCTCAACTCCTCCAGGTCCTGAAGTCTGCAGCAGCCGCGCACCCACCTCGCATTCAGGCCTTGCCCCTCCCCCAACCCTCCCCTAGGCTCCGCCCCCACAACACGCCCCTCCGTGGTCGCCCCCTCTCCAGGCCACGCCCCTTACCGGTTCTCACGGGCGCAGAGGAACTAGATGTCTCTTCCTCTTGCCCAGGAATTGGTAGTTAATATTCTGCCACCGGTGCGTCCACCTGGAGGGCGGGAAAATTTGGCAGACAAGATGGGAGCAAGGCTCCCCTACGCCCCCAGAGCTCCGCCCACTCCGCCTAGCCCCGCCCCTTATCCGCTCTCAGCCCCTCAGGCACCGCCCTCCGCAGTTCCGCCCCTCCTCCCGCTCGCAGGAACCGTCAAGCCCAGCCCATCCAACTCCTGACTGGCTTCTCGGCTGTGGGGATCCGCCCCTTCGCACAGGCCCCC